TAAACTTGAACATTAACATTAAATAAAAAATATAGCTGGTTTGCTTTGGCTGCTTTGGCCCCTTAATAAATAGAAAATAAATCAACACAAGAAATCTTTAAAATGTTTAACAATGAAATTAAAATAGCAGCAAGACTCCACACACTTGTGCTTTGCCCCCCTAATAAATAAAAAAAAGATTAACACCACAAGACATTGTTGACATTTAATAAACAATGCAGCCTTTCCTTTTCAGTTATTTTAGTAGTGTTTTTGTAGTCCATCCATGGCTCCCATTTCACTAATTGTGCCCAAAACAATGCCATCAGTGCTCTACTTAGTGCTTTACTTAAACAGTAAGAGTGTAAACCAAATAAAAATTTCACTCTCAAAAAACCAGAGCAGAAAACAAGTAGTCAGTTAACTAAATTGACCGCTACTCTTCCTACTCTTTGTGTATCTGCCGTCTGTATGCTGGCCTGGTGGATTGATAGTAAGAGCTGGAGCGGATCACTGGAATAGACTGCTTGAATCGCGGAGCGCTGGGTTGGCCGGAAAACCTGGCACGGTCTCCGTAAAAAACTGGATCGGAGTTCATGGACCGGCATTTTTCCATGCAGTCCGATCTGATGCCGATGCCCGTTTTTTGCTAAATATCGGATCGGGACATCTCTAACTTTAGTTTCAATTATGTAAACACTCTGATGTATTTTCTAATGTTGATAAGATGGGATATCCTGGGGAATATATGAATATTATTCTCTCCCCAAAACTTTTTTTGTACTCTGTTGTAGGCTACTATTTGGTGCAGAAGCTCTAAAATGAATGGATGGATTACTCAGCAGACCCCAAATCATCAGGGGCCACTCTGGCTTTCACCTGAAAAATGTCACTCAATGTCGGTTAACACGTACCAGCCTGGGAGAGACTGACCAAAAAAATGAAAAAGAAATGCAAACCAAACAAAAGGAAGCACAAAATGGCCACCACAAAGAGCCACACACACACACACACACACACACACACACACCAGAAAAAAAAAACTATAACGACTATGAAGACACACAAAACACGACAACAAAACAAGAGGCAAAACCACCACAAATTCTGTGTGTCTTGCTCCTGTGTAGAAGAGGTGGTGGGGCCTTTTGCGTGTCTGTGTCAAAGTCTTCCCAGGATTTAAAGCAGCATAAAAAGGCAAAGGAGGAGCTGTCGCTGTGTGCTGTGTCCTGATGCCTTCAGACGTTTTGGGAAGACTGGACTGAGTTTTCTCTGCAAAGCCTATAGAATCATTTAAGTTGCCTGTATTAGACCGTCTTTTGTTTTCACTCTGTCGATTTGTTAATAGGATTGTGTTTTCTGGGTATTTGAGTTTCTGTTTGCTGTGTTCTTTCCCTTCCTGTGATCCTATGCTGCCTTTCCCTCATTTGACCCTCTACACACCTGACCTGCATCAGCCTCGTTAGTCCTTCCCTGCTCCAGAGTTTTTACCCAACCAATCACCTTATTCCTCTCACCTGAGCTTCTCCTTCTTTTTCTCCACCTGCACCTCATCTCCTCATCAGACTGGTTTGTATTTAAGTCCTGGCATTCAGCTCAGTCTTTGCTGGATCCTTGGTTTTGTTATGTGGTCATCACTTTGCCTCTTTTCTACTGTAACCCTCAGTGATCGGTGTTTGTGTAGTGGTGGAGTTAAAAAGCTGCTGAGGACCCCTGAATGCCAATAACTGTTCCACTAGATCCTTAAAGATACCATATATCTTGATTGAACACCCTGCTGAATAAGACAAATTTCAGTGTCACTGAATATATAAACAGTTTTCACTTCCCTTTCTATTAATCATAGAACAAAGTGTTACATGTCAAATGCTTCATATGATTTATCTGAAGGATAAAATTGCGAAGGTAGTGGACAAAGTGAGCAGTTGAATGCAAAATGAGGTGGTGGAGGCTGCCTGCAGGATGGAGAGATCAAAGATAGGCAGAGTGAAGCCATTGCCAACAGTTAAGATCCCCTATGCGTGTGTAACAAAAAGTGAAACAGATAAAGTATCTCTGATGGATTGGGTCTGTTGACTGATATTTTCTGTCTTTTATTTTTTAATTTCAATCATAAAATGTCTCTGTGTAGGCTGCTGTTATTTCTGTACATACCCTTATATAGTGTTTTTTTCCGAGACATTTTGTTTTAGCTGTTGTTAAGTCAGGGAAGTCTCTGAAGGACCAAAGTGACAAGGAGGAGGATTTATTTCCTCCAGTTTAATCATGATGCGAGGGAGACAAGTGTACAGACAGAGGAGGTGAGAAAGGGTGACTCAAACAACCTGATGAATTTCAAATTTAACCAATAACCCACTTGGTGTGAAATAGTCCTCCAAAGTCAAGGCTACCCTGTCCTTTATGAGAGATGATAACCTGGACTGAAGGTTAAAATGAGTTCTTGCTTCTTCCATATGTACCAAAGTGATGCAACCGTGCTTTACTCTTATTGAATCTTTATTTAGTTTGCATTCATAAGAGTGCATGACAAGTCAGCTAGGTGAGTAAACATTGATATGCTTGGTAGTCAGCTCCGAAAATGCTAGCTATAAGCTTCTGGCTCATGGATCAGCTGTTCAAGTTTTTTCACATTTGGGACTGTTTTTTTGGACTATATTGGAAATGATGGGGCCCGGGCTCTTGAAAGTGGACTGTATGGATTAGCATGGTCTGAGGTCTCGAAATACATCTCCATATAGGTTAATGTGCTCAATATGCTAACTGTCTCTTCAACCTACCTGATTACCCCTGAGAACTGTGATGCTGTGAATTTTAACTCTATTATTTATTTTTATTTTATATATAAATATATGTATATATATTATTTTATGCAATTCACCCACAGAAAATGCCATTGAAATGGCAAGGCTAGCTGTTTCTCCCTGTTTAAAGTCTTTACGCTAAGCTAAGCTAAGCTAAGCTAACTAGCTGTAGCTTCATATTTATTGTAAAGACATTGCAGTGGTAATGGTCTTCTTCATTCTTTTAACTCAAGGTCTACTTACTAGATTTATTACTAGATTTACTAGATGTATTTAGATAATGGTTGGTCCATCACTTTGGTAAAAAAAAAAAAACCTCTGTAGCAGCTAGCTAGCTAGTAAGTAGGCTAATGTTAGCATGTTAGCATTGTCATTGTAAGAATGTTAGCATGCTGACATTAGCCCAAAGCTCTGGTGTGACTACAGCCTCACACGGCTGCTAACAACTGTACACTCACAGATAGACAATAATACATCAAAACATATCTTGTACGGATTACAAATACTTGCTGATCAAATGTTTGAAAACAAAATACAAAATTCTGGTATGAGAAAAGGCATTTAATTAAATAAACGTAATTTAAAAAGACAAAAATACTCTGTAGGGACTGACATTATATCACATTTTACGCCTTTAGCCTCATATGGGTCTGACCTTAAGCTCCCTGCATCAAAAAAATGAGCTCACCACTCACCATTTCCTTGTCTCAGAGTCAGTGTATTTTTAGTGAAATGCCTAAAAATAACATGCCTGTGGTTAACACGTTTTGTTCTACCACATTAAATGCATCAGTAAATACCCCACTCATGAACTCTGAAGACAGTTTCAGGGTGCCCAGTAGTTGACCTGGTTGAGCAAGTACCCCATATACAAAGGCTGTTTTCTTGCCGCAGCGGTTGCGGGCCTGCAGCTTCGACACCAAACCACAGTCCTTTGCTGCATGTCATCCCCCCTCTATTCCCCTCTTCAAATTGTATCTGTACCATCAGATAAAAGCAAAAAGCCCTAAAAAACATCTTTAAAAAAGGCAATTGCTAACAGTGGCTAAATGAGACAACACATCAACACGTCAAGTCACACCAAACAAGGCTTTGCAGTCTTGTTATGGTGATGACTTTTGGTCATGCAACCAGTGTAGTTCGTTTATGGCCAAATGTTAGTTTACTTCTGGTGATTGCATTTAGGCTTCAGTGATCACAAAAAAGATGATCTTGCTGAACAATTTTAAACAATTGTTTAAACAACCACGTTGGTTTGCTACAGAGCTTATTTTCTGCAGTAATCCAAAAGCCAATGCAAAAATCCCATAGGTTTTGACATGGGAAACAGTGCGAAACTAGCCTCCATGTTGGCCAGTCATCAGGATATTCAGGAGTGCATACTGAGTGCTTTGTGTCAGTCACTGTCATGACCACTCGAGCTTCCTGAGTTCATATTTGTCATACCCATGTTTCCTGTTTTATTTTTAAACTCTACCTCAATTAAAGTGAGTTTCTTCTCTTCTCTCTTCTCTTCGTTCATCAAAATGAGGGAGTAGGGGGAGAGCTCAGTCCGCACAGTTACTGATCACCCGTCTACTGACCTGAGCCTGATTAAAGATCCTGACCTTTTATCTGAGTCTGTGAGTCTGCTGTGTGAGTCCTTCTCCAGTTTGTGCTTGACAGTCACAGCTATGAGCGCTAACAGGGTGAACAGCCATTTGACAACCAGTTCTTTCAGTGAGTTTAATCATATGTAGTCCCTTGGCAACATCAAAATCAATCAAATAATACCAGGTTTTTAGCCCCTCTCTCAAGCTCAACTATGCCCTCCTCCATTTAAGAGCAACACACATGAACTGCTTAGTGATTTGTATTCTAATTCAAAAAACAAGATTTTAATCTACACACTGACAGATTAGATTGTAGTGGTTCATGCAGAGTTGTGATGTTCAGATCGTGAAACTTTATGGTGCAACGCTGTTGTTCTAGCACATTTTTTTAAACGCCAGTGAGTGTATTGACTGGAAAGATGAGTCTAGATGGGGTGGGTGGTGTTGAGGAGGTTTTGTTTTCTGTGATAGTGGTCTTCACAAAACCACAGTTTATGACTAGTTTGTGACTAGCCGCTGCTTGTGGTTAGAACTTCCATTTAAGGAGCCGTGCAGGCGAGTTGTGCAGCCCTCCACCTCTTGTATAAAAGGTGTGTCACCAGACGCACAGACACTTGAGATCACTGCTCTCTGCCAACATGGAGAAGTCTTCATTCCTCCTTGTGTGCATTCTGGTGGCATGTTCAGGTGTGCTAATAATGTCTTGATTGTTTATTTATTGTGTTATTTATCATGTTAACTGTTCTTCAGCATTTTTTTTGTTTTGCATCTTCACAGTCTGGACAGTCGACGGGAGGAGACTCAAGGTCACCATTGACGATCAGGAGCAGGTGGACATGGAAATCTCAGTGATGGCTGACAAGGAAGTCTCTTTGAAGGACGGCGAGGAAGTCTCTGTGAAAGCTGGAAAGGTAATATGGCTGCTTCAAACACTGCTAGTCCAGCATTCATCTTCAAATATCAGATGACAGAACATTAGATGATCAGCAAAGGGTCACTTGCATCTTTGCTGTGTCTCTGTAGACTATGCAACCTGAGGTTGCACTTCCTTTTGAAGGTTTTGTAACCACTGTTCATAAGGTGGTTAAGTTTACATACATTAGTCAACTATAACTGACCACACAATTGAGAATATTTTGCAGGTGTCAGTCAAACATCTATCTAAGTAGTATTTTATTGTCTCTCTTGCACGACATACACTTTGGAGATAATTGGATCTTTAAGTGCGTACCAAAATGTCTATGAATTTCAGTCGGATTATGCAAACTGCAAATATTCTATTTCATCACTTGGAGGTAAAAAAAAAAGTGGCCGTGCATCATTCCAATGCACAGTGGCTCCGGCAGCATTACACCTATGTGTGTAACCCTAAACTTGGCTTTTGCTTGACACCGATCTAATCTTAAATCCTGACTTTATGTCCAATCTCAGCCTAAACCCAACCTGAATAAACTGTCTGCACGGTGATGTGGTCGGCAGGTGTAGTTTGGTAGAAGAAAATTCCTACATGAAATTGCTCACAACAAGGTCTGTGGATTATCTGGGTCATTAATTCTGGAAAGAAATATTGCTGTTGCATTTTTCAGAGAGTAATCTATTTATTTATTGATGCTTGACGAGCACTATCTAGTTCCATTATATTAGAAAGAAGGCAGACATCTTTGCAACTCCCACCTAAACATTCCATATTGATAAATAGCACTACAGTTAAGAGGTAAAATATGTATTTGATATTTTGTCCCATCAAAATTAAGTACTCATTCTCCAGAAAAATGCCCCTGTGACTCATATTATTTTATATTTAATCATTGGATTGTTAACACTGATGCAACAATGTGTAAGTAGCATTTTACTGTTGTAGCTGCTCAAAGTGGAGCCATATTTAACTACTTTACATGCACGTATAGTGGTTCTCAAACTCGGTGCAGCCATTTCAGAGATCACAAGATAAATCTGAGGGGTAGTGAAGTGGTTAATGGGGGTTGGAAAGAAATAATCTGTTGTTTAGGAGTTCATTCTTTTGATTATGAAAAGGGTAACACTTTACTTAAACCTCCTATTCAGCCTTTATAGCAATATAGACATTTACAACATACTATAATGTAGCTGTAAGCAGATATAAGGGCATTTTGAGGTGTCACAAGAAAATATTTTGTATAACAGCTATGTTATATCATGTTATATTGTATTATGTTGTCAGTATATTGTTAAGTAGCAATGACAAATATGTTCATTAACACTTAACAAACTTAAAAAGTTTCTCGTTTATTGTTCATTTAACATTCTATATCATGTCAAGTATTAATTTCATGATACATCTCTTCACACAGCTTCCCGGTGTGTGCTGGGCGTGCAAGTGGGCTTTGAACAAGGTGAAGAAAGCTATCGGACCCAACGCCACTGCAGAGGTAAATGAAAATGTTTAAAAGGCTGACAGATCGCCGGTGCATTGTGGGAAAGACTGGTAACAATCATAACAATTACACTCTTACAGAAACTGACAACAAAGCTGAAATCCGTCTGCGACCAAATTGGCCTCTTGAAAACTCTGTGCCGCAAGTTTGTGAAGACGCACCTCGCAGAGTTAATCGAGGAGCTCACCACCACTGATGATGTGAGAACCATTTGTGTCAACACTGGAGCCTGCAAGTGAGTCACCAGCCCGCCATTTTAGCATTCGACTAACAATATACCCAGAAATATTGAATCTTTACAAAGTCCTTCAACAATATTCATTATTCTGTGGAAGCAGTTAAGAGACGAAAGTATTTGAATTGAATGGAAACTGCACTTGTGCCTTTAGTTAAGCTATGGCGTGTCAAAGGTGGCACACACACCCAAGGTTGCTGACCCCTGCTGTTGTGTGTGGTATTGTTTTATGGTACATACTAATCCCCATACAAATAAACATAAAACAAATGAATATACATACTAATTAAATTGTAATTAGGGTCCAGGCAGCTAAGCTGCCAGGACACTATTGTAATCCTAGGTATTCTTCTTCTTTCTTCTTTCTTCTTTCTTCTTCCGTGGAAATCATACTTCCCATGGGTGAAAACTCACCAAACTTTGCACAAAGGTCCAGTCTCATGCCAGATATTCTCAGCTGTAAACTCAAGCCAATAGTCCTGATGGTGGCGCTACAGCAAGTGTCTAAAGTTCAAAACTTTGAAAATTCATAACAAATCAACCATACGTGCTACAACTTCACAACTTTCATCAAACTGTAGCCCCAATACTGAAGAAACTTTTGTACATTTAAACCTATTAAAAATTATGAAGTCCATCACTCTGTTTTTTTCAAAAACTGTATAACTTCTTAAATCTATCTCCTGCCACAATTTTTGCAAGTGTCTCAATTGACACCAAACTTGCTACAGAGCATCTTCAGACTGTCCTACAAAAACTACGTTTCTCAGGTTTTTGATTTATCAAAAATTGAGCCTACAGTGCATCAAAATGTTTGACTGTAAACAGTACTGTAAACATATACATGCAAATTCTTGCTAAATAAATCTTCAATGTTCATGAAAAAAAGACAGAATTCTAGAGTCATGGTAGATGATGTTTGGCAAATTTCAGAATTTATCTCAAAATCTGAATTTTTGACAGCATTTTGAATTTTGCTCTCATGTGAACAATTGGAGTCAATGTAAAAATTTCAATTTTAAACATCAGTTTTTCACTTATGGAGCAAATCAATCATTGTTACAAACAAATTACCAACATCTCCATGCTGTCTAGATGCAATATGTGTATTTTCAGATTTTTGTCTTAATAACTGATCACTGTGCAGCATCTTCAAGTCTTTTTTCTGCTAGAAAATCTGCCTTCTCATGCTTGAAAATAAACCAAACTTTGCACAAAGATCCAGTGTCAATACTTAAGCGTGAAACCATCTGAGGCTTCTCACTTTGCACATAGCTCACCTAGTTAAACATCAGTTTTTCACTTATGAAGCAAATCAATCATTGTTACAAACAAATTACCAACATCTCCATGCTGTCTAGATGCAATATGTGTATTTTCAGATTTTTGTTTTGATAACTGAATTTTTTACAGTGGTTTGAAATCTGCTTTTCCATGCATGGACGGCTGCTAAACCTGCACTTCTGGCTTAGTCAATTTGTGAAGCTACACATGAATTGTCACTGATTAATTAGCTCAGTGAGATAGAAATTGATTTTTTTTTTTTTTGTTTTTTTTTTTATTCTTTTTTTTTTTAAAAGGCAGATTGTGTTGCTAATTTCTTAAATGTCTTCCAATTCTTCTGCTTGTTGCTCAGAATTGCCTAAAAATGCCCAGACCTGACCCATCGCTGCACAGCAGCTATAATTATTTTAATCTTTTCCTGTCTCTCTGATGTGCTCTTTTCAGGGCAAAGGAGTTGGACCTGCTGGATTATCCACACGACGAGGATTCAGAGATTGAAGTGATTGAATATGTCCGAGGTCGTATGCGTGCACAATAATCACGCTTATAATCACGCTGCAACCAGTTTGCTTGTGGCAGTGACGTACTGACCAACAACTCTGTGCATTACAATATGTGATAAAGGATTTCTTACAGCTTCTTTCTGCCACTGCTTTTACTTTGTGTTGCACTTTATGCCTGTAATGTTATTTTCTATTTTTGCATCTGCACACAATGATATCAATAAAGGTTTGCATTTCAAATGTTATGAGTATTCTTTGTTGGTCTAGGTTAGAATTGCATCTGCAGCCTTAAACCCTTTTAAAATCTCATAACTTTAACTTAGGTACAAACAAACAAAAGATAAAACGCTCTTAGTTCATGAGAACAAGCTTTAACAGTCAGACAGTGACAGTGTACAGCTATATTTCATGTTCAGAGTGACTGAAACAAAATTAACATGACTACAAAGTGGGCTCCTGCCAGTGCAAAACCACAAATGAAACTGTTGTGGTTTTTGTGGCGAAGTTTCTCAGAAAATTTTGTCGATTTCTAAACTTGAATTCCACTTTTATAAACAACAGTAACTGTGCAAAGGCATTTAGCGCTTCAACAGAAATAGACTGCATTTTATTTTATTAGCAAATTAAAAAAATAACTGGTGAATTTAAACTGCACCTTGTGGCATGCGGAGAGTGTCTACATATACATACATGTTGCATATATATATATATATATATATATATATAGACAGTTGGCAAAAAAAAAAAAAAGACCAACCCTTCAACCACTGTTCTAATTTTCCTTTAGCAGGATGTTGTTGTGGGCTGTTAGGACCCTGTTCTCACCAAAGCAAAAGTGTTACTTGCAGTTTTGTGTGAAACAGGTCACACGGGCTGGAAGACATGTAAGAATAGCTCACTGCAGAACAGAGTACACCAATGGCAATGTTAAACCCTTTAAGATATAAAAGCTTTTAATCTTTATTGCTCAGATTCAGATATGTGACTGAAAAGATTGAGGTGTTGCATAAGACATGGCCATTGGTCGTCCACTCAGATTGACACATCTCAACAACTAGAGTTCTGTACATTCATGTTCTCCAGAGGATGAATCTCGACCACTTTGCTGATCCTCTTGACTTTTCATTGTCAAAATTTCACCTTATCTCATTCTTCAATTATTTAAGCCCACCCAAAAAAATCACCTGGGAGGTTGGTGTTCACTTCCCATATGAATGTAGCCTCAAACCATGATGTTTATGTTGATGTCTCAGCGTTGGTTGCGGCATCCTGGAATGTCAACAGCAGACGCAGGAGGACACCTATTGTGTAACATGTAGATGTAAAAGGCCACGGACAAAGCGGCACCAGTGTGTATTTGATGTTATCAGATAAATAAGTAAAAAGTTTTGCTCTACAGGATTTATAAAACTACAAAGAAAAAATGCACATTGAAAGACCAAATGAGTTTCTTTAATTGTTTTTTCCCCCCTTAAACATCAAATCATACAGTTCAGTGAATGCATCATGACAAACACTCTTAACATACAGTCACAGACTTTCACTAATGCACACACATAAATAAGGATGTACAAAATACATGAAACATATAAGCTATTTACACACACTGTCCGTAGACGTCATGTCACTGCGTCTGCATTTTTGTGCAGTTTGCTCTTTTTGAAGATTTGAGTGTGCAGTTCTCTGTTAATGATTTCATATAGCTCAAAGTTTAGTGTCTCTGATGAACAACCTGCCATCATCTCCGCAGCACATTTCATTTTTCCCCTGTTCATGAGGAGGCCGCAGTAGAGAGCAGGCACCTGCTGTTTCGGTCAATGAAGCGCCCATGTGACCGACCGGCGTCCCAGCTCTGCTTTAGGGCCTGACGGTCCAGCTTGTTGAGTCCCTGAGAGCAAAGACGGAGATCTTTGACCAGCTCTGACAAACCGTCCAGACCTGCACTGTCCCAGGGGCCAGACACCGCACAACCTGTGGAGGACGCAACCAGAAGCTTGTTTTATCTGTTTTTGGCTCAATGTTGTATTGGTCATGATACAAGGTTATAATAACACCTCCTTACCGTAACCTTCTCACATAATCAATCTACCATTTGTTTTTCACAGTAATTAGTAGCTAGCTCCTAAAATGTTCAGGCAGAGGGTACTTGCTGTAGCTGTGGTTGAGGGTGAGAGGCTGTCAGTAAATAGTTTGCTGGACACAGGAAAACAAAGATCTGTGTGGGTACATGAGACCCTAAGAAAGAGGGTGGGTCATGGGGAGTATCACCAGTTGGTCCAGGAGCTTCTCCTCCATGATGGCCATTTACAGGCATATTTTAAGATGACTCAGGGGCAGTTTGACAAAAGTCGGGCTGTATAGCTCTGGGTGTCCAGCAACCACTACCACCAGTTTCTCCTCCATTGTTTACCAACTATAAACTTGTTGTTGTGACCACCACAGAAGACCCGCCTCTCAAATCATCTCATTGGACAAAAAAAATGATGTAAAAAGAGATGACGTGAGGCGCTTTTTTTTTTTGCTGAGTTGAAGTTCTTCCAACTCGAGGAGTTCAGAGTGCTCCGGCAAAAACGCCAGGTGCCTAGAGTGCAGCAACCTCAAGGTTCGGTGCAATGCACAAACCGCAAGCAAAGAGCTTCCTTGTCATTAAAAACAGTAACAAAAAGGTGCCTTAGTTTAAAGCAAATCACACTAAAAATATTTTTCACATTTACTATAATAGTAATATGCCACCAAAGGCAAAGAAGATGATTGCTAGAAAGCAAACATGAATGTAAACAATGTAGGTTTTAGATTCTAACCCCCCAAAATGAGTCTATAAATGTTTCATGTAGAAGACAACACATTCAGCACATTTATTCGGCCTCAAACACAAGGTGTGTTTTGTTGAGAAATGGGGACTGTGCACCAAACACAACAGGCTACCTGTAACTTATGACACACATACCTTGGAGGTTTAGAAGGGTCAAAGGTCGACAAGCCTCTCTGAGAGAGATCAGGATGCTGTGAAGTCCCGCTGAGGTGACAGATGGATTACCTGACAGGTTCAGATTGACCAGAGTGGGACATGAAGGCAGGCTCCTAAAGAGAAACCAAAAAGTTTAAACAGACACAGAGAACTGCAGAAGCAAACACAGGATGACAGATTGGACAACAGAAATCTTTTTGCATCTCTCTCTTGTATCTGAATTCTGAACACATTCACAGACCTTTGGCTTTGAAGTCATCATTACCCCTTAATTATTATATGAAGACTGTTATAATCATGATTAAATGTATGCATGTTCTCACCTGGCCAAGGTGGCTACACTGCTGTCCGTCAACCCGTTTGCTGCCAGACTCAGGTGGGTCAGTGAGCAGTCGTCCTGTGCCGAAAGACAAAATGTTTTAATTTGTCTGCACTGTAATGAGAGGTACAGTTGGACATGATTTATGTGTGTGTACCTGTGACAGGATTTTGGTGAGGTGTTCCAGTGCTGGGTAATCGGCAGGACCCCTGCGGACAGCAGACAGGTCCAGGTGTGTGAGGCAGTGGAGAGGCAGAGTCTTCAGCACCAACTCAAAGCCAGTGGAGCCCAATGCATTGTGGGACATACACACTGATTTCAGGTGGCCCGATCCTGAAAGATCACAAGGGTATTTAGCTATAAATAATCTTTTTTTGCAAGCTGAAAAGATTCTGTTGGATCCTGATATGAAATAACACCATCTTTTGTCTCCATTTTATTCTTATTAAAAACATGATTTAAAAACATTTTATTGGTTCTGCTCAGCTTTAATTTAAAACCTATGAAAGCAAACACAACTTCAGAATGTCAGAGACTCACCTATCAGAGCACTGGCGAGCATCAGTCGATGCTGCTGCAGGAAGTGAGCGGTGAGGCCACATGCCTGCAGAGATAGCTTGGCTAACAGAGGGCAGCAGGACAGCAGGCAGGACAGGGACTCGGACACGCCGTCACCCAGCTGATTCATACTGAGGTCAAGCTCCTCCAGGCACTGTGAGAGGAAAACAACCACAAACAGTTAATGTGCATGAGAGAGATGTCTTGATTAAATTCGATTGATATTAAAGTGGTGACGTGTCAGTCTCAGACGTGATGGAAAAGCATTTGAGACAGTTTCGCTCACTGCGGTTTGTGACACAGGGTCGGGGGGGGGTGCAATTTCAGTGGTTCACACTTGGTTAACGGGACTCGACTTTAACAAACTGTGACACGTACACTACAGTGTGGGGGAAAAAAAGCCTTTTCTTTAGCGTATGGAAATCAAAACTGAAGTTCAAAGTATCACCACAGCAAGATCATTTATACCACTAGTAGACACTACATTCAGACTGCAGGCAAAACCAGCCAAAATCTGATTTGTTTTGCTCATGTGTGACTCAGATCTGTGTCAACAGCACAAATCGTATGGAATGTGATCTTGTCAATTCTGACTGGGGGGAAAAAGACAGTCCTAAATGAGATACAGGTCTGATTTTTTGCAATGTGACCTCAGTCTGAGCAGTCATATCGGAATTCACGCGGCTTTCGTCACCATTCTGCTCTGGTGGGAGTCATGATGTGAACACTATCCCACCACTCGCGGCTCAGACTATGCATCCACACACACGTCTGTGCAGCAGTAGCAGCCATTACGCCACACAAAGCCATATTTAAAACGTTGGCTCTCTTTCTCCTCACCGTCTTTCTCATCCTCGTTATCATCTGCTCGTGAATTTGCCAGCTTCAACTGCACATCAGCTTATAAACTAAACTGTGAACTGACTTCAGCAGCCTCCATGTTTTCTTACATACATCAGTGTGTTGTGTGTGACATGTCCAATTCATGACAGGTATGGGACCAAACTATCTTTAAAAGAAAACCGTGATGACAGCAGGTGAACTAAAAACACTCTTTACCGGAAACGCAGGATGACTCTGTCCCTTTAAAGCATTCACGGCCTTCTCCAGCCCCTCCCCTGTGATGCTATTGGCAGAAAGGTCCAGCAGCCGAAGCCGAGGCATGGTGACTGTTGTGGCGACCAGCTCGGGCAGAAGGTTGTCATGGAGACGGTTGCCGGAAATACGCAGCTCGGTGAGGCTGGCCTGCAGTTTCAGGGCACGAAGGAGTGGGTTGAGGGAGGAGGGCGCCAAGCCGAGGCCACACACTGACATGGAGGAGCTCCCATCCTGCACCTCGCACAGCCGGGTGACACGCTTGTTCTCATCTGCAGGGCGACAAAAAGATGCTCCAGGATGGGTTATAGAAATGTGTGTGTGTCTGCGTTTGTCTGTGTGTGTTGCTCACCCACTGCCAGGCTGTCACAGGCCTTCTTGTAGCGCTCAGGGAGAGGAGGGAGATCCCAGGAGCAAACTTCAGCGAGAACCTGCAACACATTGCACTAGCGTTAGGTGATGCATGCAGACATTGCTTTAATCAAGCACCGGATCTAACAAACCACAAACCACCCAAACCAGCACAGCTGTCAGAGCCCTGTGTGTGCAGGCAAGTTTCTATAAGTTATTAATAACTTATATTTATATAACTTTACCCATGAATTAAAAAAAATTAAACAAAAAAAAAAAAAAAAATGACAACGTACCATCTTAATTCTGTCCTGATAAGAAAAGGTAAAAGTAATCCTAATAACACACTGTTCTTGACGCCCGTCCTCACCTCTTCATTAGTGTGCAGAACAGCCAGCAGCAGGTCCTGCGGGGAGAGCAGAGCACCTTCCTTCTGCAGCGAGAGGCGCGGCAGCAGGCCACATTTCTGGTAGTAACGCTGAGCAGCCTGCTCACACAGCCATGACACAGTGCAGGAGTCAGCCTCACTGGAACAGAGGAATGTGGATATGGACAACTGTAAAACCAACGTGGAATCCCTAACATGTACAGAACAAGCATATTAGTGGTGTCATTCACTACTAGTTACATATATATAAACCTTTGTGGAACTGGGATGAGGAAAACATCTTCCTGAACTCTGACCCTCATTCTGATTGGTGGAGGCAGTGATGTGGGCATTGGAGCAGCCAAAGTTTGAGCTGGAACCTGAAATAAAATCACAAATTAAGAAAAATAAATACAAGGAAAACACAATGGCTCCTTTAATAACATGATTAATAATAATACTCTATTTACAGAGTCCTTTTCATAGAAGAGATATAGCTCAAAGTGCTTTACAATAAAAAATAAAAATGCGACACATTAAGAAGGGCAAAGAAACAATAAAATAAGACAATAAAAAGACATTAGATATTACAAAATATATAAGTGAAAGTAAAAAAGAGACAAGTAAGAATAATCAAAATAAATTAAAATATTAGTTAAAAAAATAAATAAAAGAATATTTTAAAAAATAATAATGAAATAAATCATAATAAAATAAATAAAAATATATAAATATACAAAAATAAAATAAGGTAATAAGGTATAAATATAGGTTTTCAGTAGTCATTTAGACATGTACACAGAGTCCACATCTCTTACAGCTCTTGGCAGGATATTCCATAACTCTGGAGTGTAGTTAAAAAAAGTTCTACTGTCTAGTATTTTTTTTATATATACTTTTATTAATCCCCCTGAGGGGGGATTCAATTTTTTCACTCTTTAACACACAGGTCCGAAAGACACACACATGCACAAACAGGACCTATACATGCACAAAGTGGAGAGATGTCAGAGTGAGGGGGGCTGCCTTGGTAGGGGGGGGGGGGGTTGTTCAGTGCCTTGCTCAAGGGCACCTCGGCAGTGCCCAGGAGGTGAACTGGCACCTCTCCAGCCACCAGTCCACGCTCCATATTTTGGTCCGGACGGGGACTTGAACAGGCGACCCTCCGGTTCCCAACCCAAGTCCCTATGGACTGAGCTACTGCCGCTCTTGTGCGTATAAGCGTGTGTATTTAAGGAACGAGCAGTAATAGATCTGAGAGTTTGTAAAGGATTATAGAGTCTGCAGTGTACGACAGTCCTGAAGCATTAAGAGCTTTACGAACAAGAAGAAGACTTACAGTCTAATCTAAAATAAACTGGGAATCAATGGAGTGTAACTAAAACTGGGGGTAATATGCTCTCTCTTCCTTGTTATGTTCAAGGTCTTACAGCATAGTTCTGAATGAGCTGAAATCTTTTAACAGACTTTAAAGGAGAACTTCACCAAATCCTGAAATGAAGTCAAGGCTAAGATGTGCAAATGCTGAAACTGAAACTGTGCAGCGTGACCTCATGCGAAGTTAAGATGTAAACTACAGTCAGTTTAGATCTAAAGGTAAAGCTATGATACAATACGATAAGATACGGTAGTTTGTTGTCACCATAGGGAAATTTGTCTTGGACTCGGGAGCTGCAAAAGTAACCCCTAAGCATCAAGCGACATTATTTAAAATCCAGGTTTGGGTTTTAACTGCACCGTCAGATTCCCACACCCACTGACATACTGTACCTGACAACACTCCAGAACAGCCTCTGAAAATCCTCTGATCCACCCCAAACACCTGAAAGCTGACTTTCTTCAATCTGCGGCCATGTCTTAAAATGGCGCTACCATTGGATCATCCCGCTCTTATTCACCAGCACATTCATCACTGTCTGAAGTTAATCAGGAATAAAGACAGACGCCTGACAAATGATGTTCCACTTATGGCCCCTAGTGATGCTGAAACATTAATAACTGTCACTGAATAAATGATATGAAATCTCTCTTTGTACTTGAAATGAGTCATTTTAGAGGTACATTACCTCATGTGTATTGTTTCTAGATTTGACTACATCTTTAACTCATCAAAAATCTTTTCTCACCTGCATGTGTATTTGTGGGGGTGGTGGTGGCGTCTCGGGCCTCATGTCGTCATAGTCTGTTACCGTGGGGCTGTGCGACCTGTTCACCTCTCGCCTGCCCAGCCGCACCATCCCCGGCATCTGAGTCATTTTGACCTGCTGAGGCCTCTGAGAGCCGTTCTTTCTCTGAGAGAGACTCCTGCTGGAGGAGTAAGGAGCTGCAGATCCTGAAAGAGAAGAGGAACATGAAGAAGGTAAACTAAGCAAAGAAATGTGGAGTAAAATAAAGTAAGACATAAAAGTTGTTTTATTACCTCTGTAGGCATCAGAGGTTAGATGTTTGCTTTGATTTCTTGCTGCTAAAGCAGAGGCCACGTCCTCCCCTCTCATTTCGTCCTGCTCCACCCGAAGCCTCCTCTTCTTCTTCGGCTGGAATTCCCCCAAATCATCCTCCAGCCACTCATCGGCCAGATACTCCTCCTCGGGAATGAGGGCTGATTTGCTGCTGGATGAAACAGCTGGTGTGCTGGAGTACTGAGACTGCGACAGACGACTTTTGGCGCTGCCCAAGCCTCGAATGGCACTGTGGTACTCCTCGCGTTCAAAGACAGATGGCGCGGGAGGCTCCCTGACGCTTTCTCGACACAAGCTGTGGATTGGGTTGGCTTCCTTGTTTGCGGGGACTTCCTTTTGACTGGGGGCTGCTGGGATGTTGTGTCTGGGGCGTACGGCACGGAGAGGACTGATGGGACAGTCAGAGTCGCTGTCGTCTGAGGAGCTGCTGTTATTCTACGGAATACATATACATGCAAATCACGTACTGTAATTATAGATCTGAACAACACAGCTTCAGTGGCAGAATGACAATGAATCTAAAGCCTTTACAAGAAGAAATGATGTAATATCAAGCATTTTTATCTACATACTCTACTAAGAAGCACTTGGCAGACATTACCCCATACAGAACAGCCGCCTCTGTCCCCCTGGCTCTGTGCCGCTGTGTTGAGCCGTTGCCCTGCCACCGTTTTGGGCTGGCAGGTGCTGCATTCACCTCTGGGTTCCTCTTGGTCCGGAGCCAGTCTTGGCTGGAGGAACAGCCCCCTCCAGAGGACGACAGCGGCTCAGAGTTCTCAGCATCAAACAGCTGGCTGTCCTGCAGGGCATCGAAAGGCTTGGCTGGGGCCGGAGCGGCGGGCACTGTGTTAGACAGAGATAAGTGGAGGGAAAAAACGGCGTCTGAAAGGATGTTTAAAAGGCGAGCCGAGGCTAAACTGTTGTGTTGATGATGTAAAGGCCTCACCTCCCCCTGCAAGCGCCTTCCTCAGCAGCCTCTCTGTAGCCATGCACTCCTGCTTGGTGTCCTGGTCCAACTCTCTGCTGTACGTCCTCTGCCACTGACGGAGGGTGTCCATGGCAGTGTCACCCTAACAGAGAATGATGAAAGCATGAGACATAGATGCAAACATTAAACCCACTTGGACGGATTTAGTTGCCTGGGGGATGTAGGGTGATTTCAGTATTATCAGTCGTTGGTTCTAGCCCATCTGGAGTTAATATGTCTTCATGTTTTCACTCCTAAAAACAGCCTCATCAATGTTCAGAAAGATAGATTGAAGTAGTTTGCACTGTCTGAAGAACCAGCTCCTGTAATTTACCAAAATGCCACACACACACCTTGGAGTTGCGCTGAGTGACAGAAGCCCCTCGCTCCACCAGGAGTCTTGCGACTTTCAAATTGCCACAGGCGAGGGCGTCGTGGAGAGGAGTCACTCCCTCGCATAAGGGACCGCCAGGATCATTAATGTTAGCGCCGTGTTCCAGCAGCAAAGCCACAATGTCTGCATGACAGAGAGAGTTTGGAAAAAGTTTTTTAGTTTCATGAAACTACTTTTAAACAAGGTTATATACAGTCGATCATAACTTAGTTACCATAGTGACCGTGGTTGCAGGCCTCATGAAGAGGAGTCCAGCCACAATAGTCTCTGGGGTTCACCGGGTGACCCTGACATGAAGACAAGCAGCACATTGTTGAGTATCAAACAATCCAGGTTGTGTTTTATTGTCTTGATTTTGCTTTTTTGGCAACATATACATAATAAAACGCAGTATTTTTTAAAACAAGAATTACCAGTCTTGTTTTTCCTCACCTGTTCCACCAGATACTGCGTCTGCCTCAGGTTTCCGTCTATACACGCTCTGTGCAGAGACGTCTCGCCCTTCTCGTTCCTCTTGTTCCACTAAAGCAGGAAAACGCATACAAAAAGAGCAGAGGGTAAAAAACTGAAAATGAAAGACACGGGATACAAAGACGAAAGTGACGACTGGTACATGACTCACCCTTCCTGCCTTCCTCCTTCCTGACACCATCTTGTCATAACCCTCCAAATCATCATCTAGATATGAAAAGTCAAATGAGACAAACATGATGTAATGTAAGGAGATATTAGGATCTATTTGTGTAGAGATGTCAGTGGGGCAGAAAGGGAGTTCTACCTGAGTCTGAGAGAACGACGTCACTGTCATCCAGAGGTTCACTGTTCTCCATCTCCTCCTCTTCATCCTCCTCACCATCGCTCCCATCTGGATTCCAGCCCTCGGCGGCACACAGCTCCTGCAGCCTCGCCTCGGTGTCATCGGCCTTTGATGAGCCGAGACGTCGCTGGGACGCCAGCCAGAGCCTCAGCACGCGTTTCTGGAGAAGGAAAAGTGAGCGTTCATACACTGTTGTTAGACCCTTCCAAGACAAAGTATTATTCTTTCACATAATAGATGGATTTGCAGATGATAATGAATCAACCTTTTAAATCAAGTTTAATGTTTTTTGTTATGCAACTTTCAGCTGCTCCTTCCATCTCACCTGTAGTCTGGTCTGCCCAGACTTCTGAGCGCAGTGCGAGGCTCTCGTGTAGCTGCTCTCTATGTCCTCGAAGGCACAGCCGCTCTCCTCCTGAGCTGCTGCGATGTTGAGCCAAGTGCTACACTCCTGACAGACACATATGAGTAATTATTTGTGACTTGGTCCCAACATGATTTACCTACATCCATAAAACCCAGATATTATCACTTGGCCATTTAAAAAGAGAGCACTGTTGGGTGAAGATGTGTGTCATGTATACCTCAGTAGAGCTGCCCTGTCGTAGAGCCAGCTCCTGTCTGTAGTGCTCCACTGCCTTGCTGTGCTGTCTCAGGTCTGTGTAGGTCGCAGCCAGGGACACGTGGATGACAGCCAGCTCCCTGGCAGGCTTTCCCAACGCCTCAGCACCCCTTAGCTGCATTACGTCAACAACAAGGCTAAATCAATTATCTTAGGTGCATGAACTGAAATATAAGAGGAGTTAGAAGGCAGTGAATACTGGATGATCAATATATGTCTTACCTGAGCTTGATATGCATCCAGAGCTTTGCTGTAGCAGCCAACCTTACAGTACAGGTCCCCCAGCTGCTCTGACAGCCCCACAGCCTGATGGGAGCTTTTGCCCTTATCCTCCCCCAACTCTTCCTCCAATTTACAGCCCTGGTCCGCTGTGAAATTCAAACAAATCACGCCGTCAACTCAGCTACCTTGGTGAAAACAAAAGTCATTTTAAATAAACGCAGACTGAGTGGATAAAAAAAGTCTCTGTCACCATATTTGAAAACTTTCTTCACGGCCTGTCTGTCCAGTGGCTGCTGGGAACCCAGCAAGAGAGCTTTTTTCAGAGATCGTCTAGCTGCCACGAAATCACCCAGAGTCAGCTGCACCTGTGGATAAATGTGACAAAGATGAACAAATTACAAAACCTACAGCCACAGTAACAGAAAACGGGTACGCTGGTTGAATGCAATTGGGCTATTTTTGCTGTAGCTTTTTAAAGAATGAGTTTATACCTTGCCAATGCAGTGAAAGCACTCGCTCTCACTAAACTTGTCTTTGATCTTCCTCGCGCACTCTTTGGCCTGTTCAAGGCAGCGCACAGCATTAGACTGCTGACCATGACGGAAGTAGATGTTGCCCAGGTTAAAGTTTGCACGGTAGAGATCCTCAAGCAGCTGACTCTTCCTGTACAGGATTAGAATGAAGAAAGCATGATTAGCAACACTTAATGGTAATCTTTTTATGTACAAAACACACTTATTACACTCACTCTCAGTAAAGAGTAAGACAACAGGACACCTTTCTGACAATATCCCTATCTTCCCACCTGAGTTTTTAAATCAACATGAAGTTAGGTTGAGGATGTTCTTACTCTGCAATAAAGACACTTCGCCTGATAAACTCGCTGCAACGTTTGGGCTCCCCCAGATGATCACAGACCAGACCAAGATTGAGGAAAAGACGTGCCTTCATCTCACTTATCTCTCGCCCCGGCACAGTCCCTGGAGGTACGAAGAATTAAAAATGTTAGTACAAACAAGGACTACAAAAACCATAGGCACTAGTTAATTTAGCACCCGTCATATAATGCCCGAAAAGCACATAGACAAACAGACCTTCTAGGCGATCATTCACAATGGCCAGGCTCTTTTTGAAGGCGTCCTCTGCTTGCTGTAAACTGCTCTTTGACTGGTCGGATTCATACCGGAAGAGGTAGGTACGACCAATGGTGGCTAGCGCTCTTTGCTCCTCAGCGTGATCTCTGACAGAGCGGGCCAGGTCCAGGTGACAGCGCTGGTGCTGAAGAAGAAAAATACATGTTACGCTCTATGTTTGTATCATAAGAATTGGTTTAATGGCCACAAAGTCATTTTTGCAGGCAGTTTCAATAAACCTAACCAATCTACTCACTTTCAAAGCAGCCTCAATGTTTCCCATCTCTGCATAGCACTCTCCTATCTTACGATTGGCCACGGCTCGTCCAATCACGTCGTTCAGCACCTCAGAGAGAGACAGCTCCTGCTGGTGCTCACTAATGGCAGCCTCATAATCACCTACGTGACACAAAAAGCGGGAATGAGGATGGATGAGTAGATCTAGAGCAACACTTTACATTACTGGAAATCATTGGATGGGTTATTGTGACAAGTGCAGAGCGGCGGCAAGAGCATGTACACATAAGAAAGAGGGAAACAGGAATTGATTGCATATATGCAGGGATTAGGACTATTAAGGAAAGTATACGCAGGAATGGAGTGGGGGGCAGGCAAACAATTGGTGTATGGCGTTTTTGAAGGACGACTGGATTGATTAAAAGACTAGTTACCACATAATGAGAGGGGGTGAATCAATAAGGAGGCAGCAGCAGCTAAAGAAGACAGTGGTGGGTTTAATGGCTCGAAGCAATTTGATTGTATTTCCCAGTCTTTGCCGAGTTACAGTTTTGTGTGAAAGGAATTAAAGGCCTGTCCCATATATATGCCTGTGTATATTTCACAAAATGATGAGTGACTCTGTGTAGCCTGCATGATCACTACTATCTATTCAGATTGAAAACTTCTGATCTGTGTCCTTCTATCTGTCTGTCATGTCCTTATTCCTTTAATGTACAATATAAATGCAATCTGCACATATTCCTATGTACACACTTCTTCATTTAACAGTGAATTCAATATCATGAATATTAGGAACAGCTCACCATTTCTGGACAGCAGCTCTCCCAACTGATTGCAGATGTTTGCTTCCTCTTTGAGGTTGTTGTTGTTCTGGGCTTTGCTCTTTGCTTTCTGCAGCTCTGCAGGGTGAACACACATTATAGGCTTATATCATATCAGCTTCTAGCAAATCAAAAAAGTAAGTGAAAGCAGATCAATACTCACGTTTAATCTCCCGTGAAGAGCTCATCTTGATTCAGCACAGATGGGTAACAGCTTTGTTAGCTAACACACAGCTGGTAGTAAATGACAACGCAGCGCGCTTCACGTTAGCTTAGCGCTAGCTGGACGAAACCCAACTGACACATCGGAAACGATCGAAACAAACCACTTTTTCACCTCATTATCACCGCGACATGACTTTGCTAGTCCATGTATATCCTCGCTGTCACTTATATATCCGATCGTGATCGCTATCTCATCAAAAAAGCTGCACTGTAATAATTTCACTAAGCATATTTTAGCTTTCAGCGCTCATTGAACTTTACAATGCCGCGCCAGTACCGCGCGAGCCAATGACTTCCCTGTTCAATGTAAGGGAGAATTTCACTCTGGTGCTAGCCTGTCAGGCACAAATCCCGCAGCGCTCGCTGGGATTAAAAGGTCATGAATCCAACCCTGCCCTTAACCCAGATCATCTGCTGTAACGTTGCACTTAGACATAAAGTATGTGATGTATTAACGTGTCTGTGGACGATGTACAGCATGTGGACAGAGTGTGCCTGTTTGTCTGACAGACTATACTCAGGGCAATAGTATCAGCGTAAATAAAAGCTGCCGTTCATTGGCTAACGCCAGAGCGTGACGTAGTTCTACATAGAAACAGTATCCACGTGTGGTAGGTTGTCTGAGAAGTAACTAGTGTCTTTATTCTGTTATAATTCAGCAATTGGCGTTGTTTATACTTTCAAATTCACACAATGAAAGCTATAGTACAAAATGGCGGAAGTATTTTAATAGCTTGTGAGTGAAACAACAGATAGAAGTAACAAACAATAAGCAGCTGGTGCCTGTCACCTGGTGTGACTGCTGTGTGGAGGCCAGGTGATGTCAGTCAAGGTAAAAAGGTAAATGAGGTAAGAGTCCCTTTTGTAACTGAGCCAGTTTTGAAGAACACATTGACACATTATTAAGTATTACGTGTTATGCTGTGGCAAGGGACATAACTGTTTTGGTTTTAGAGTAATTTAAAAATACTGAAGGTTAAAGCAGGGAGCCCATTTACTTCACGGAAATAAAAAAAAAAACTTTCAAGAATTGGAATTGCTAAAATTAATTAATCTTGTAATAATGACACAGCAGGGGGTCAAAATGCTAATATCTCATAGTTATTAAACCAACTGATATATCCCAATGGGCAATATTGGATTTACAGCACTGCCCAGTTTGGCCTCTGGGGAGCACTGACAAGTTTGGGTTTTAAAATGTCACTGTATATCACTTAAAGGTCGAGTGTGTAGGATTTAATAATAATGATAATAATAATAATGCATTTTACTTAAAGGTGCCTTTCAAAGCACTCAAGGACACCTTACAAGACACAGTTAAAAGAAAAACAAGCAGCAATGTATCCATAGATCGTAATAAACAAACTATTCCGTAATAAAATTATGAGATAAAAATCGTAATTATAAAGACAAAGTATAAAATCATCATCATAAAGTCATCATGAATATGCGTGTCTCCATTAAATCGGACTGAATATGCCAGCTTGAAAAGGTGTGATTCCAGACGGATTTGAAAGTGGAAAGGGAATATTGGGAATGTCGCGAGGCGGGGAGCAGAACGGCTGAAGGTTCTAGAGCCCATGGTAGTCAAGCGGTCAGATGGTGATGTGAGTTGGATTGCAGAAGAGGATCCAAGAGTGCAGGAGGATGTGTAGATATGAAGGAGGTCAGACAGGCAGGAAGAGGCTTGATTATGGAGGGCCTTAAAGGTGAGAGGCAGAACAAGAGTGATATGATCTATGGAGGGGGTTCAACTAATGACACGGGTGGCTGAATTATGAAGACACTTGGTAGAGAGACCAAAGAGGACAGAACTGCAATAATCAGTACGGGATGTAACTGAAGAACGAACGAGGATAGCAGTGCTCTGAGGTGTAAGTGACAGGCAAAGATGAATAATAATTCGTACTGTAGATGAAAGTATGCAGAGCAAGTAATGTTATTAATGTGGGCCTCAAAGGTCAGTGCACTGTCCAGGATGACACCCAGACTCTTTGGTGGCATCTAGCGGTGAGGTTGCAGAACTGAAGGACCCCCTCGAAAATGAGATGATGCATCTCAAGGGATTTATCCCACCCTACATTAAATTTCTTCAAGCTTTTCCCGTGTGCCGAGTGTATAGGAGAGTTACGGTGGCCAACAAGAAAACGCAAAACACAAAAACACAAATGGTCCTATTTAGAGTCAGTGTTTGGTTTGTCCATCCTGGGCTACTGTAGAAACAACATGGCAGACTCAGTGGAAGAGGACCCCCTCTGTATGAAGATATAAATGTCTCATTCTAAGGTAACAAAAACACAATAATTCTTATTTTCAGATGATTATAAACTAATTAAAACATAATTATGAATAGTATATTTCATTTCTGCCAATACATGCCTCTATTCTCCACACACTGAACCGTTTAAATCCTAAATTTTATTATAAGAAAGAGCACATTCATCTGATTATTTGTCGTCTGTGTTGCTTTGTGCGTTTGGTGGCTCCTGAATTTGCTCTGTCAGCAGGACTGCTGTGGAGAAGGATACACAAATCTGAAACACAAACAATGCCTAACATTACTTACACCAATTTTCAGATTGACGTCCATGGAGCTAACCCAAATTCATGATCTTATAATCCAACTGCTAAAAAAAACAAAAAACGGGGGGACACATGGCCAGTGACGTCGACGCTGAGACGTTTTTCGATTGGCTTATTCAGACGGACAGCAGACCTTGACAGACAAATAGTGGTGCAGCCTCTAGTGAGCTGCTAAACTGAGAATTACAAACATTATTTAGCTTTTTATGAGGCAGATTGATAAGCATGTGATGATCAGCCTCTGTTGGGAGCTAATGTATGTTGTCCTGTATTTTCAATCCATCATCTGACAAAATATAGGACCAAATCATCATTGTCTGTCTTAACATTCCATATTATATGTCCTCTAGAATGATGTAGATTTCTAGGTCTCTTATTTAAAAATCTCAGTTGGCCTTATTTCTGCTGGATGTGTCGACACATCAACCTGTGTAATCAGTTTTTGGAGCATCTAAAAATATTCCCAAATCTGAATCCCTTGAGAGAAAACAACAGCAGACGCAGCAGACAGCAAGAAAATAAGAATCAGAAATTATTTATTTCCACATGGGTTTGCACATACAAGGAATTTGGTGATTTGGTGCATAGCAACAACCACAGTGCAAAAGTCTGAAGACATAATATGAAAAAATATAAATAAAATAAATCAGCAATCATAAAACCCTTCATTCATTATTCAGGTTTACGTTAAACAAAACTAAAATCCTGCAAACGGCAACAGGCAGAAATGCATATCTGTTATTTTGGGTCAGAGATTTTTGACATGCCAGACACGAGACTCCCGCATCAGAAGGAGCTGAGAAGCCTTTTCACATCAGACACAGAGCACCCTCTCAGCCTCTGTGAGTCTGCATCTCTAAACCGTTGACCTTACAAATGAGCGTGCCGCATCATTGTGAGAATTGGTGTTTCTGGGCGGTGCAAAGTGGAGTAGAGCACATCAGAGTGCAGGATATCTGAGCACAGCAGAGCACAGAGAGTCAGGCACATCCGCCTCTGGAGGGATCAAATCTGTACCATCTGACGCTCAAGGATTTATGGGTTTAGTCAAAATTGCTTTTCCCACTGTGGAGATTAAGCACCGTAGGATGTTTTCCACTCAGGCCATAGAATAGCTGAGTGTAGCTGCTGCTGCTGCTGCTGCTGTTATTTCCTCCCCCTTATCGACTCCGGCGGTGGAGACGGGAATGTCTCAGCAAGGCAGAGTGCTCCGAACCCTTGAGGGGAGTAAATTCTGACTGACAGGAGAGGTCCGTCCTCTGGGGAATGTGAACCATGCAGGTGGATCCTGTTCTTGTGCTCTTCTGTGTTTGGCTGGCGGGTGCAGCGGGGAGGATAGCCCAGTCGAGGGGTCACAAGCTGGAGACCTACAAACAGAGCAGGTAACGTGAAAGGAGACACAAATGTTTCAAAGACTAAAACTGTAAATGCTTGTTTTTATGGTTTCACTTAGACACAGAAGCTGTTTTAAATAAAGCTTTAAATGCAAACGTTAAAGCTCTTTTCCCCATAAGGGCTTTATTATGTTCTTATAGATGTTTTCTGAGGTTTACACGATGTTGTCCGGTGTTTCCTGTGTCACCTGTGCCGCTCCCTCCCCCTCTGAAAACAGACTTATTCAGACAGCAGATTGGAGAGCAGAGAGAGGGAGAGAGAGCGAGGGAGACCTAAATCCCCACATCTATTTATGCACTACGAGCGAATGCTGTGTTCTCTTGCCCCACAACTGCTGCGGGCCAGTTAATGACTGTTTCCCCCACTGGCAGCAGTTGTAGCCAATGTCATTTCCAGGTGATTATTTAGGCTAATTGCTGCCTTGTTAATGCGTCCAATGGATTAGATGTTTTAGTCTGGGACTGAACTACATCTGAGAGTCGTTAGAGCACCCTCAATTCTACACTGCCACATTATTGATTGAATTGGCTTCAGTGCTGGACGACCTTTAAATGGGAACAGATTGAATTTGTTTATCTGACTGTTTGAAGTTGTGTCACTGCTGTGAAGTGCAGGGAGCAGTGTGTGGAAGGGCAGTACTTGGAGAAAATGTCACATTTACACCACAAAAACAAGCCACTAGCATTTTGGAAATGCTGATAATAATTGTTTTAATGATACACTTATATTTGAGGCACACACTGAAGCATGAAAACACTATGTAGAAAGCTGAATGCTTAAATATATTGCAAAATTTAATGCCGGTGTGTACGAAGTAGGGCTGCAAGTCAGTGTTATTATTATCATGATTGATTACCTGATTATTTTCTTGATTTATCATTTGGTTTGTAAAATTTAGGAACAAAAAACATGCTGTTCACAAGCTTCCAGAGCCAACGGTGACAGCTTACAATGTCTTGTTCAGTCTAAAACCCAAGAATACTCAGTTTATTATCATATGACGACAGAAAGTGTTTTAAAAAATATATAAAAAATACAAGAAAAGCAGCAAATATTCACATTTAAGAAGCTTTAACCAGTGTTTTTTCCCCACTTTTGCTTAAGAATGACTGAAAACAATCAAAATAGTCACAACTTTATGTCAGTCAACTTATTTTATCAGCTTTAATAAGAATATTAGATGTTTTAACACTGCTGTTAAGTGCACTGAACACTATATGGGGAAGCACAGCCTGGCATATTCGCAGTGGAAGTCTCTGACGCACATTTGAAATGCAAATGCGATCATTATTTCAGCGAGTCAGTTACATTTGGAGCACATTTTGAAGCATAAAAAACAGCTGTAAGGTATTTAAAAAGATGAACGTTTACATGCACGGCGAAAATTGTCTGAATGAATTTAAATTGCATCCTCAGATGGCTTTGAGCACCTGTCGAGAGCTGCAAGCAGAGGAATGACTCACAGGGGCTGCAGCTAATGATTATTTTGATGATTATTTTTCAGTAAATGTAGTGATTTTTTTGTTTGGTTGATAAAAATGTCAGGAAATTGGGTAAAATAGCCATCACATTTAGCTAAAGCCTGTCTTCGGATGTCTTGTTTTATGCGACCAACAGTCTGAAAGCTGAATATATTCAATTTGCAGTCATAAATTACAAAGAAAAGCAGCAAATCTTGTCGTTTAAGAACACGGAAAGAGCAAATATTGGCATTTTTATTTAAAGGAATTGTCAAAATAGTTGCTGGTTAAGTCTGTCAATCAAGTAATTAATTAATCGACTTATCTTTTCAGCCTTAGTACAAAGTCAACCCCTTTAGATGGCTCATGGGAATATTTGCATTTTATCTGAGGTGTAAAAAATAAGGAGAAAAATATAAAAATTCCCTAAACCACCAGGATAGATTGGACTTTTTTCCCAGCATTTACATGTACAAATTCAACTATTCTCTTGTGAAAATATTAGCATGCAGCTCAACTATACCCCGAGGTCTCCAAGTGAGAAAGTGTCTTTGCATTAATCTCTGGTGAAGATGATAAGGTTTTCCCAAGCAGCATATGCCTCATAACGCTATCAGCGTTGATTTATATGCATGCACTTAATATATTCAACAAACCCTGTCAAATCATATAATCCCCCCCTGCCTTTAGATACAGTATCACTTTCCATGCTCTAACTGTTGTTATTTATAGATCAGAGGAGATGTCAAACAGCAATCAGCTATTAACCGTCTCATCCATGTGAGTGATATAAATGTGTTTGACATTCTGTACACTGCTGGCTCTGTATGTACATTATGACAAACTGTCAGAGCACATTGATCTCACTGAATATGCGTTAAACAGTTCTTTTTAATTTAAACAATCCTGCGTGAAATTACAGTCATTTAAAGTGATCATCGGCGCCCCAAGGTGGTTAAGATGGTCATGTAAGAGGAGCGCAATCGTAATCATCTGTGGAGAATCTTCAAAAGGCAGAAAGCACAAGTGGCTCAAAGCTGCGTCGTAATTTCTAAACACCAGTGTTGCCTTATCAATCAGGTTTTCTTTCCCCCTAACTAGTTAAAAGTCCCCTCACATTGTGTCTTCCCTCTGCTGACACACACACACACACAGTCGGAGAATACAAATCAAATGTAAATCTCTCATTCCTCTTCCAGCAAGGGGAAAAGAAAAAATCACATGCACTTATGCAGAAGTTGAACCTTTCCTTCCCCGTGTTTCTCATCACTCCACTCCTCCTCTCTGTGAGTGTGAAATTGGGAAAGCGGTTGGATGCTGCTGGCGTGTGTTGTGGGAGTTTTCACTGTATTACTTACATTTTCTTTTCACTCGCTGCCTTGAGGAGGGAAGCGGAGAGGGGGGATAAGTGTAGGACAGCAGAGTTCCACACAGGAAAACATCTAAGGAGAAAACCCTCATGAGGTTTTAAAGATAATTCTTAGTGGTCGCTGGATGATTATTGAGACAGAAAATCACATTTCGATCGTACAAATGAATCATCCTGCTTCTTTTTTTTCTGTTTTCCTTCTTACTTTTGATTTTTTCACGCCTCCACATAAACATCTAAAGCTTTCACTCTGTTAAAGTAGCTCATTATTTTTAAAGGAAGCACCCTGCAATATCCTGGGTGCATGCTGCTGTAACTAGCAACATTTGCCATACATTTTCAATACCATAGGAATGTAACAATGAAATGAATGATAAATACGCCGTTATCCCCACCTGTAGGAGTAGATTTCAGGGGGACACAAGGGACATATCCTCCTCAGTATTAAGAGCGTGAGCATTTATCCCTCTCAATAAAAACATAAAAGTAGCAGATGACTTCTACTTTGACAAAATTACATAAATTTACACCATTAATTGATGCAAAATGCACAAATCGATGCAAAAAAAATTCACCAGAATGCAGGAAATTAAGTGTTTGATGCACAAAATTTTCTGGGTCTCCCAAACCCCCTGTTTCATACATGTCTTCCTCAGTGTTGTGGCAAAGTCTACACCCTTGCCCCCACGTCCCACCACTATTTCCTATAGTTAAAAAATATCAATTTAGCAGCAAAGTAGGGGTTTAAGCTTGACTTCAATGATATCACAATTTAAAGGTCCAGTGTGTAGGATTTAGGGGGACATATATGGCAAAAATGGAATATAATATTCATAACTGTGTTTTCATTGGTGTATAATCACCTGAAAATAAGAAGTGTTGTGTTTTCATTACCTTAGAATAGGCTGGTTATACAGTATCTATATACAGAGCAGATCCTCTTCCATGGAGTCTGCCATGTTTCTACAGTAGCCCAGGATGGACAAATCAAATCTTGGCTCCAGATAGGACCATTAGCGTTCGCGCATCAGCTGTAGGTCTCCTACACGCTGGGCACACTGGAGAAGTGTCAGTTCTGCAACCTGACCACTAGATGTCACTAAATCCTACACACCAGACCTTTAACCTTACTGAATTGTAAATATATATTTTAGATTAATTTTAATTTCAAAGTAATGAGAAACAAAGCGTCAGTTGGTTGGTTGACACTGTGTTTTTGCCTTTAGATTACATTAAGGGTGTGTGTGCAATGGTGGAATAAACAGGCTACTCAGATCTTAAGAGGATGTGAGGTTGACGTCAGGCTGTATTATTTTTTTGGAGGGAGGCGCCGTCTTTTTAGAGTTGCGCTCTGTTATCCATGGCTGCTACAGTGGTTAAGCGACAGTACTAATCATGATAAACAACATAGATCCATATGACTTGGCTTGATTATGCATCTTCACTCACATTCCTGCACATTGTAAAATTAAAGTAGAGATGAAACACTGAACAATATGACTGTGGTGCATTTGATTTTTATCTTAGGTAAATATACTGCAATCAAACTTGATATTCACCCAGATTTGCTAGAAAACTAGACCGCATATCATTTTTTTCACCAGTAGGACGTGGCCATCTTTTAACAAGTTAGTTGGTGACATCATGGGAATGGTTTGTTACTGTGGAGCGCTAAATGCAACTCGTGTCTTTCAGACTAGTTAACTATCTCGTTTTTGGACTGATGGTGCCTTCAAATGTAGTCGTGTGAAGTCGTGAGTCCATGTGAATAACCCCCTCTTGTGGTATTCATGACCTTGTAAATGGAAATTTAAGCACTGAAAGCATTGAGTTCAGGAGTTGTGATGTATTTGCTGACATTTTCAGGAATGGCGAAACCCATGGACGTTCATTTTTCATTGGATGACAATGATTGTTGTAATTTTCAATATGTCTGAGGAAATTGTTGCTACTCCCAATAGTGTCATCTTTTTCCTCTGTTATGCCTTTGCGTTTCCTGCATACGTTCCCCACACGCTAGCTCACTAAATTGTTAGCCTGGGTGGCTTTTAGACGCTGATAGTGGCATCCATGTCACTGCTGCATATCATTTACATGATTTCCAAAGTTGTAACCACAAGCTCACAAGTTCCATTTGAAGGCAGCATGAGTGCATATA